CCTATGAAAAGTGGGAGACAAAGACAGAGGGGGGCACTCAAGTGGAAAGTGGGTGTGTTGATAAAAGAATGTGATGCCTAGGTTGCGCCAGTGGGTTAATGTAATTTCTTGCTGGTTGTTTAGATACTGAGCATGAAGCTGTTGGTGCCACTTTGATCCCCATTCAGTACAGAACAGAGGAACATGAGCCATCCAGCAGCAGATCCAACAAGAGTTCCTCCCAGAATGATCAAAGTCCTTTCATACATTAAACTCATGTGTACGTGTTGATCTTGCATCAGCGGGTGAGAGAGAAGGGTGGGGACAGGCGCGGAGAGGGAGGAAACAGTGTCAGATGTTGTGGCAGATGGGATGTAAGGTTTTTGGAGAGACATGACAAGGCACCAACAAAAGGAGAGTTCTCTTTCTTAGCAAACTTATTCTTTCTCAGCCTTGGTCCTTGTTTTTCCAGGGGTGTTACTGAAAGTCTTGAAGTAATGCTGTCATGAAAATGTCCTTAGAATTGTTCTTATTGTCAACAAATCTCATGAAAAGGCCAAACCAAACAATGTGCTTGTGTGTTTTTCATTAGTTTCAGACATCACTGCCCTGTCTGTGATACTCAGCCCCAAGCAGTTCACTCCGACTGAACAAATGAGTCTTTAAAAACATGTTATGGATTTATCATTTCATTTTTAAGAGGCAGTGTAGTTTTTTTCTCCAAACATCACCCAAAGAGGAGTAAACAATGCATTTGTCTAGGTTTGTTTTTTGCTGTGGATTAATTCACATTTGTTCCTCTGAGTATGTAAAGCAGCACTATAGTGTTTGTTGGACTGAGTCAAAATAAACTACAGTGTAATGAAGGAACATGTCACTGCAACAGCATGACACATATTGTAGAATCATTTCACTGCTGTTTTGGTCTTTTGTTATCAATAAGGAAAATGTAGCTTATAACTGGACTTGTCCTATGTAAAATAAAATGTAACTTAATATTAAAGTGAAAAGTCATGATTGTGTAGAACAGCCTTATAGATGCATGTGGTGAACCGGTGGTGTAGGGGTTAAGGGAGCAACACTGAACAGCAACATCCTGGTGTGTCTGGTCTGGGCCTTTTGTGGCACATCACTCCTCTTTTCTTCATCCGCTTGTTTCCTGTCATCTGTGTACTGTCAGCTATTAAAGGCATACAGTGTCCTGAAAAATAGTGCTTATAAAGGTGACACTTTACTGAACACCCCCATTTTAGTATTTATAAGCAGCCTACAAACATTTAATATAGGGGTTATATAAGTTAACACAATAATGTGGTTGCAGAGGGGCATTTTAAGTGCTGATGTACTGTGACTGTAGCTTCACCTTTGAAAACATACTTTATATTATTACAAGTGTTTTACTACATTGCCATTGACTGTTTACAGCTATATTTTTTATAAATACATTAATAAACAGATATCTGCTAGTAACCACATTATAGGGTTTATAAATCATTTATTGAATGGCTGGCTGCTGTGTATAGTGTGTCCATAGTAGGCAGTTCAGTCCCAATGATCCTCTCTCCAGTCTTTATGACCCTTTGAAGAGCCTTTCTCTCTACCTGTGTTGTGTTACCATACCAGACTGTGATGCCAGTAGTGAGGATGCTCTCTATTAGTCCTCTATAAGTCTGGGTGAGGGGGCGATGGTTCTAACCAGCTTTGTGCTTTGTTAGCACCTTTCCATCTCTGTCTTTAATTGCCCTTATCTGTTGCACATCCTTCCCATCTCTATCTCGCTAATCTGTACAAGTCCTTCTCGCCTTCCCTCGTGTCTATCCTGGCATACAACTCATCATATGCTTTCTGTTTGGCCTTTGCCACCTCCCTCTTCACTCCATGCTGCGGTTCCTTGTAATCCTGTCTACTGTCTTCAGTCCTTTCTACGTCCCACTTCCTTTTAGCTAGCCTCTTCCTCTGGATGCTGTCTGTACATCCTCGTTCCACCACCATGTTTCTTATCTTCTTCTGTCTGAATTCCTCATGACATTCTTTCTTTTGCAACTTCCACCACTTGGTCTTCTTTTCTGTCTTTCCTCTCCTCTTCTTCCTGACCACCAGAGTCATCCTACACACCACCATCCGATGCTGTCTGGCTACACTTTCTCCTACCACCACTTTGCAGTCACTAATCTCTCTCAGATTGCCTCGTCTACATAGAATGTAGTCTACCTGCGTACTCCTACCTCCACTCTTATATGTAATTCTATGTTCCTCCCTCTTCTGAAAATAAGTGTTAGCTACAGCCATTTCCATACCCCTTCAGTTTCCAACTTCAAACTGATCACCCTGTCTGTGTCAGGGAGCTGAGTGACGCTCCCGTGAAGATGGAGGAGTGAACCCAATTAAAGAGCCAGTCAGCTGAGGCAGTAGAACAGACTTTAATGTCTTTTTGTGATTTCAGCATAAACACACATAGTCTTGAGGGATCAGGCAGAAGAGTGGTACTTAATACGGTGCAAGGTCGACGTCTCCGGCAGGACAGCAGGGAAGGCAAGGCAGAATCACAGGTTAGTTGAACAGGCAGGATGTGGATCTCAGGTTGGCAGTCAAACAAGAGGGAGCAGGCTGGATCACAGGTCGTTAGAGCAGGCAAGGGTTTGGTGCCAGGAAAGCAGTCAGAGGAAAATGCTGGAGAGTCTAGACAAAGCATAGAGTAATCTGGCGGCTCCTCACACTGTGACTATATGCTGTGGTGAACAGGTGTGGGTGATTAGTGGCAGGTGAAACCAATGTACATGATGAGATGAAGTTACCAGGGTTTTAGATGAGCTGGTGACAGGAAGTGGTATCAAAATAAAAGCAGGACCCCGGAAGCAGTTGGGGCAGGCTCATGACAGTCTGACACTCTTTTCACCTCTAAAACATTCCCCACGAGCTCCTCCTTCAGGATCACTCCTACCCCATTTCTCTTCCTGTCCACACCATAATAAAACAGTTTGTATCCCCTTCCAATGCTATGCGCTTTGCTACCCTACCACCTGGTCTCCTGCACACACAGTATATCTACCTTCCTTCTCTCCATCATGTCTGCCAGCTCTCTACCTTTCCCTGTCATTGTGCCAACGTTAAGAGTCCCTATTCTCAGACCTATACTCCTGCCTTTCCTCTTCACTCTCTGTCTACAAATCTTTCCACCTCCTCTCCTTCTTCGACCAACAGTGGTTCAATTTCCGCCAGCACCCTGTGGTCAACAGCACTGGTGGCGGTCGTTGTTAACCCGGGCCTCGACCGATCCGGTATGGAGTTCACACTGATGATTCACATGTTTAAATTTGGTGCGTTTTTACACCGGATGCCCTTCCTGACGCAACCCTCTCTATTTATCCGGGCTTGGGACCGGCACAGAAGTCACTGGCTTGAAACCCCTGTGGGTATAATAAATATAAGCTTAAATATCAATTTAAAACAAACAAACAACAAACAAACAAAAAACCTTTTGCCTAGTGTTTTGGAAAATGTCATATTAAATGGTAAAAGTTCAAACATGTGTCCAAATCATACATTAACAAGGAACACCAAGTAGGCTAAAATGTTGCTATAGGTATGAGTTACTGTGGGCTGCAGCTTGGGCACCGTTTTTTAGCCCATATTAGTTTAGCATGCCAGATTAACTATTATCAGATCATTTCTGCCATCTGCTATTACTGAGAAAATTACGTTAGTAGTGGAAAAATCTTAAAAACCAGTTTTTCTCAAGCTGGTTCTGAAGTTTTGCAGCTCCAGCTCAGTACATGCCTAGTGAGTAGGCTGCAACTTTAAGGCCCTTTCTTAGTCTATGTTTGTTTAAGTTTAGGAACAATATATAGTAACAAAGTATGCCGACTTAGCTATTAATAGTGAACTTTTGCTATGCACTGTTTGGTATAATGACAGCTCTCACTGATTTACTTTGATACTAAAGAATTTGTTAAAACCTGATGATTTTCAGGAAGTTTCTGCAGCGTTCCAACCCCTGCATTATCTCATAATCACGTCATCTTTTTCTCGTAATTAATAGATCAGTATCTCGTAATTATGACATAATACATCATAACTACAAGATAAGGTCCTCCAAATGTTGTCCTTTGGTGAATGCTATGCGCATGTGCAGACACCCGGACAGAAAACCTACATTTTGTAGCCTATCACTTTAGTTGCTCTGGGACGTTTTGCGGTATTTCCATCACTGTGGTTCTTCTGTATCCGTTTGGTTCCCTTTGTTATCGGTGTGTGTCTCTGTGGCCATTTGTTGTCTCTTTGTTTTGTATCATTTTGTGTTTTTTTTTTTACATCATTTTCTTAAGCATATTTGTGGTCATCGCTGTGGCTATTCTGCGCTACTTTGTGGACATTTAGCATCATTTAGCTTCATGTTGTTTTTGTTTTCTGTCATGTGACAGCACTGACCACCCTCTGGCGCTGTCTGCATTCACTCCACAAAAGGAGCCTTATTGAACATAGTTTGAAGAGAGGACAGGGCAGGCAGACAGAAATACAGGGAAACACGGTGAAGTTGAAGTACTTCGAGCTAGCTTTATGTCACCATGGCAACCCAGAGAGCCCTGAGCGCCCCGGTGGCCTGGTTAATTTGTTCGTTCTCTATTTTCCCCCAAAGTACCTTTTCCTTCGAGCGCATTAAACTAACACAACCACAGGGAGGCGACAGTCTCACAGAGATTCAATATAGACGGGACAGTGCAATTCTACCTGTTACACCACTCAGTAACTGTTCATACACCGAATAACGACTGATTCATATTTCTTATTAAAATTCGTTAGTTTCATTACTTGCATGCCCTGCATAGCCTATACAATGCGTTTCAAAACTAGGCCTACTATAATGCAGAGACTGGGGCGTCAGAACTTGCCTACTGCAACAGCAATTATATTTGGAATATTTATATACTGATATTCAAATGGAGAGACTGAATATTATTCAGATTTGTCCCCTGACAAATAAGGGCATTTATATTTGAATTACTTATTTTTTTTTTTTTGCTCTCCAGTTTATCCTCTTCCAACAGTATGTATCCTTATACTGGTAGTTGTAGTTTTTTCTGTTTGTCAGCTCATCTTTCCTAATCTGACGGGAAGCAGTTAATAGACCACATTTCCCAGCATCCCCGGTGCCGCGCCTCATCTCTCTTCTCCATTCGCCTTCCCTCCCACTCCACTGGGCCGCGAGGAAGTCGCAAGATGGCTGATGTCGCTTGGAAGTAATGCTCCCCTCTGCAACATGAAGCCGTGAGCGTGGAAGAAAGCGAGGGAGGCACCATCGGGCTTTTATTTTTATTTTCTTTTAGTTACTTTTCTTTTATTTCGTCAGACATCCATCTCATTCCGCGTCGTGTCTACCCCGGACTTGTCTTCGGGAGTTGACGCGTCAAATCACGCCGGGGACCCTGCCAACAGCTAACAGCTAGCAAATATTAGTACAGCTAACCAGTCAGCCAGACATACAGTTTAATAGTTTGTTTTAATTGATATTCTGAAGCCGGCGAGCTACCAAGCTATCGCTAAACATGTGCTGAACTTTCCCTGGGGTAGTGCAGAATAAACGTGAAGTATTTCAGCTGTCAGATAAAAATAACGATTCTTCGAACCGATCGGTTTAACATCATGTCCGCGAACTGGCCATCCAGTCTGTGGGTTGCTAACTAATGCGCAGTGTTGCATCTCTTAAATGTGCCCAAGCCAGCAGGATAACTGTATTGTAGGCATTTATCCGTAATATCCTCCACCTTGCTGCATTTCCGTTATTTGCTGCCAACTACATTTTGGAAACTGGTTATATTGAAGCAAAATTATGCAAGCACGAAATATTTTGAACTTTTTCTGGCTATAGGTAGCTACACTGGCCTTGCTGGCATCTCACCAAAAATCCACAGGGATGGACACTAAGCCGAGCATTCACGACCAAAACTGAAAAATTGGCTTATCGATATCTCGGAATAAGTAACGTTGGCCGACACACTTGAACAACACGTGACTCATTTCACTAGTCTGTGTCACATATATAAGTTCTTTTGCAGGGTTAACGAAAGTACTCACTACATCGGAGACCAGTTGGCTTGCCTCAAGTGCATAGCTTCCTACAGTCTCGCCCCACATTACATTACCAACACGGCGTACAGAACGTATTCAGAGCCCGCTCCCGGCCAGACACACAGGCTCAACAACACTGTCATGGGAGTGCAGGGTTTTCAAGAGTATTTAGAGAAGCGGTGTCCCGGGGCAGCAGTCCCGGTGGACCTCCTGAAGCTTGCCCGTGGGTGTGTGGGGGCGAGTGGAACGCCATGCTGGGCTACCTGGCTGCCCTGTCCCAGGCCTGCCTGTACCAGGGTGGCCTGGAGCTGGTCGTGGTTTTCAACGGCACCTTGGGGAAGGAGCGCTGGCCCGAGTGGGCGCGGCGAGCTCAGGGCCAGCGACAGACGGCGCAGCTGATAGTCAACCACGTAGCCAGCAAGGCCACCCCGCCTCCCCGGGCATGGTTCCTGCCCCCGGCCTGTCTCAGCCATTGCGTCCGACTCGCCATGTTCCGCTTCCGAGTCCGGGTGAGCAATGTGATCCTGTCTGTGTGAAGTTGTTTTTATTATTATCATGTTGCGTGCCGTTCATTTTAACACTTGCCCTTTTACTTGCAGCACGCCCATTTAGTATCTTACATCATCCAGCGCTGTTTTAACTCCTTCCAGTTTGTGAGCAAGTGCGACTATCAGCTCTAAGTAATGAAAGGAGGCAGTGTGGGAATTGGTCGTTTATTGCTTTACACAAGGACAGTCTGGATCTGTCAAACGTGCTGTGTGATTTGGCTGTTCCTGGCCAGCAGAGCACATACAGTAACTGGGCTGCTCTGCTCTCAGATATGTTGGAGATGCCCTACTGGGAGGAAAAAATGTTGTACTAGATTTTTTTTTTTTTAAAGCTATACGAAGCATTGTCTGCACTCTTACCAGTCTGTGCATTATTATTCACCCAGGGCTAGAAATATGCAGTGTACAACATGACCTTAGCTTGACCATATATTACATAACATGAACTTAGTGAACCTTTCATACCTAGTTGGACACTACTGCATGGACAGACTATTTATAGGTCCCCAGTGACTGGCAGTGATGTATTTCATCAGTTTCAGTTGGTGGGCAGAAAGCTTAAGTCATTTTTGTGTGTTTGGCCTATTGACACAATAGCATTTGCTCTGACATACATTACAGCAAGGTCAGGCTCTATATAGTAGCTTAAGGTATTAAAAATGTGTTTTATAAAAAGCACATGTCTAATTATGGTGCTCAGAATAATTTTACATGAAGTGTTAGGGGAAACATGACTCATAACGTTTATAAATGTAGCTAACCCGCTCTCAAAGCTCCTGCTCATCAACTTTACCTAGCTATGACTTTCTGCCTTTGATTTACCCTCCCATCTGCTTCTGTACTCGAGTTAAAATCACAATACTATAGTGTATCCTGAGAGAATACTTGTTAGAATAGAAAACTCCCACTCACATTACAGTACAACACACTGATGCTCCTTGTGCTTGTACTGCATCATTACTCACAGTTCCCATGTGTATGCGCTTTTCCTTCATATACTCTGAGAAAGTGTCCTATTTCTGCAGCTTCAAGTAGCTAACCTTTGCTTGAATTACACCTATACTACATTCATTGCTTTGTCTCTGTGTAGCTGTTTGGTGGCTTTCTCAGCTTTAAAGGTGCTGTATGCTCATTTAGACTGTTCGGAATTATTGCACATATATTATTCTTTTTGTTACTGCTTATTAGCCTCTGTTTTATTATGAGTGACCAACAGAAATATGAAAGAGTTCGAACAATGTCCTCATAATCAGTCTTGCCATCAACCTGCCATTCTGCATTCATTTGAAGGAAGTGATTTGATTACAAGCTCAATAAATAGATTTGTAATGAAGTAACTGAATTTAATTATTTAGGGTTGACATTGATTAACACAGATATTGATTAACATAACAATTCAGGCATAATCCTGAAGCCCTCCTGTTCTCACCCATCATTTGTCTAGTGCATCGGTGCCCTCTGAAGAAACTGTGCTGTCTTAGGTCTGCATCAGCAAGCATTTTAGAAATGGCTGGTGTAGCGCAAGTTGTCACAAAAATATTGTTGCAGGAAAACAGTGCTCTATGAATTGTTGTCCAAGCCATTCAGATGTTTGTTGGTATAAAAAGTGTTAAGTATTGGATCTACTGGTGGTCTTATTTACAGTAACTATATTGCAGTGGTGGCCCGTTACTTTCACAAATGCAAGTCAGGAACATTGTTCTAACGACTTTGAAATTTTACAGAAACAACAGCTGTAAGCCTACAACTAACATCATTTTCATTATTGATGAATGTGCCAGTTGTTTTCTTGGTTAAGTTAGTTATTTGGTCTATAAAACATCAGAAATAACATCTTCAAATTTCTTGTTTTGTCCAACAGTTTAATAAATGTAAAATTTTGATAAACTTTCTGTTGATTAATAAATTGATTGTTACTGTGTTTTGTTACACAAAACCAAAGTTCAAAATCTCACATGTGGCAAACCATGTTGCTCCTAGCAGGATGTAAACTGATGCTTTTAAAAAGAGGTGACAACAAACTCCATCCAGAGTTTGTGTTCTTATGACACAGCAGACTGAGTTTGTCTCTTCTGCATTTACAGGTTATACAGACTTTGGAGGACCACCACCAGGAAGTGCTGTCTCTGTACAGAGACTATGGATTTGCTGGCTTGATTGCTCAGGATTCTGAGTTTGCCCTCTGCAACGTACCCGCCTACTTCTCCTCGCATGCGCTCAAGCTGAGCTGGAATGGCAAGAACCTCACCACACACCAGTATTTGCTGTCCGAGGCTGCCAGGCAGCTCGGGCTGAAGACACAGCACCTGCCCTGCTTCGCTGCTCTGCTGGGTAAGGAGCAGCACACTCACACATCCCCGAGCTTGCACAAATATCAAACATGTATCCCACATTTCTCTCGTGGTCTCTTTCTCACACCTTTGTATGTGAGTTGTAGTTTTGGCCCCTCCCTTTTCTTGTCATTTTTGTGTAGTCACACAGCAAACATTTAAAAATGTTCCTGTCTCACAGGAAATCATATCCTGCCTGATGAGGACCTGGCTGCCTTCCATTGGAGTCTGCTCGGACCAGAACACCCACTAGCTTCTCTCAAGGTAATGTTTGCTTCTGTGTCCCGAGTTCCTCCACAAACAGAAAATATTGGGTTTAACTATAATTAGGGATTGGGGATGGGACAATGTGACATTTTCTTGTTACGATTCAATGTACGATGTGATGTGTGCGATTTGATTCAGTCATGATACAGTTAAAAATTCAATGACAACAATGTATGACTAGCTGTGGAATACTTGTTCCCCTTTTTAAGCACTGGTTTCATTATGTAAAGAACAACCAGATATGTTGATTTAGGTTCTGTTGAGCTATTTTATTTACCTGGAGACCACATGATATATATTGCTAGACAAAATGAGATGTATTGTGATGTTTTTGTATTGCGATATGTTGAATTTAAGTATATTGTCCCATTGATAGCAATAATGTAATACTGTAACTAGTCAAATATTGTGAGCCCTGATGTCACTCAAATCTTGACATGACCAGAAATTTAGTTTAGAGGTCTTTAGATCTAATTTTCTGTTTTATAAAAATATAATTTTTAGAGACACCTTTCTCTCTCCTTCTTTTTGCTCTATTCATTTTCTGTTGCTGAATGCTGCTGCTGTTCATCATCCTTTCAGTGAAACCACTGCTGTTTTCCATTAATACATTATCTTTTATTAATTGAGAAACATTTGCAGGAAATGTTGACTTTAATTAACAGCACCCTAAAAATCAAGAAAGTGTT